TCTTTAGGTTGTTTGTTGTTGTTATAATCTATTTGTTGTATGCCCTGGTCCAGATTGACTCAAAATACATTTATGAAATGTACAATAGGCTAGTCACGATCATGTGCACACTACAAATGAAAAATAAGGTTAGTACAAGCTCCCAGTGCAATGGCGGGCACAGTGTGATGCAAAAGGAAATTTAAAACTGGAAATGGACAGAGTGGACACCAGAGAGTCCGGTGCAGGATACTTCATGTCCGCAGCAGACAGAAGCGATCAGCAAATCGCACCACCAGTCCGAGAGGGAAGAAATAGAGAGATCAGTGGTACTGTCTAAACGGAGGAGTCTGGATCTGGAGCCGGGACGAGGGACGAGACTGAGCGGTTCTCAGTTCTGTGGATACTTTATTCCCCCACCACCTACAGAGGAGTGAGGGTGGAGAACGACCAGGCTCTGGAGGTGGGAGAAAGGAGAGAGGGTGCAGGGGAAAATAAGACTGGAGTGGCTGAGGCAGTGATAAGCAAGAACCAGAGTTCAGGTGCATGCCAATTGTTGTTGCATTTGTTTGAAGGCATCATATTTGTGTTCATTTGAGATCAGAATAATTACAGAAACCAAAATTGGTACCATTGCTGAATCAGTTGAACAGGTCTCGCCTAAAGAGCTCTGTGCCGGCCTCGTTGGAACTTGTCTGTATTTGTTTAGGTTGTCCATTGTTATCGGTTAATTACCAAAATTGCTTCACGTCACCTCTTGCTGTGACACTCTTTGTAAATTGTGCTCTTCTTGCTCCAGGATGAATGCATTTGATGTAGCATTGTACAAAGGGGCTGTCCTGCTCGGCACTCTGCAGAAGTTCTTCCTACACTCCCTCACACAGATCCTCACCTACAAGCCTCACCTGAAAGGTCAGAACCTTAAAACCTGTTAGAGGATGATGATCACCTTAACACTTATGGCTTTGTAGCAGCACATACCTCTAAACATTGCTGGCAAATCACATTTATGAGAATCGCTAGAGAGTGGACAGATTTGACTGCTTGCAACCAAAACAAATAACCTTTCCTTGTTTGCTTGGATGCTCTGCTGTGATGTCTAATAATCTTTCCCACTGTAACCTGGGGGTTCCTCCTCAGAAGGTTCCTCACGCAAATTGTAAGGTGTGTCTGAAAAACTGTTTCCTTTTTCCTGTGCTTGCTGTAGTAATCAAACAATTATATTTTTACACAACATTTCCAAAAGT